AAGAAGAAGAAGAAGAAGAAGAAGAAGAAGAAGAAGAAGAAGAAGAAGAAGAAGAAGAAGAAGAAGAAGAAGAAGAAGAAGAAGAAGAAGAAGAAGAATTGTTATTATTATTATTGTGGGGGCCTTGATACTTTCTGAGCTGGGTGGTTTTCTGGCAGATGTTTCATTATCCAAACTAGGTAACATCATACTGATGACGTTACCTACTTGGGTAAGGAAACGTCTGTCAGAAAACCACCAACTTTAGAGAGCACCGCTTTTTTGTTCCTTTGTCTTTTTCCTCCTCCCCCAGCCTCAGTTTCTGAACTATTAAAGTATTTCTCTTAATATGATTTAATACTAAAACTATTAAAACAGATCCTTCCCTCCCCCCAATATGGTTTTTGGAGATAAAATTATTTAGATTTCTTATTTCAAAATAGATAAGCTTTGGTGCAACGGTTATGCATGTTTATCTTGTTCTTTAGGGTGTGTGTTTGAGCTTGTGCATTAGTTAAAACCTGTAAGGAATCAAAACAGGCATGGAAATAGTTTTAAAGTGGGGATAAATCTGCCTAACAAACCAGTTCTACTTGACGGAGGGTTGGAGAGAAAGAGAACTTCAGCACCCTGGAGAGCTCCCGCAAAAGTAGAAATGGCCCCACTTCAATCAACTCAGATTTATTTTGCTAGCAACGTTCTGGGAGAAATTTAAAAATTTAAAATTGTCACACACTATTAAACCACCCTCTGCTCCTCTTAAGCCAGGGGTCAGGAATCCCTGGCTCTGGAGCCGCATGTGGCTCACCCATCCCTCTGCTGCGGCTCCCTGTCGCTCAAAATACGTGTTGCAACTGCCAATGTGTGACACCTGCCGGCATGCGGTTTATTGAGCTTTTCGACCGCAGGTAGGCCAACCATGGATAAAGCCGAGGAAAGAAAAGTTTCAGAAGAAAACACAGTGTTTAATTCAACTACATATGCTACGTTCTATGGCCGCTCAGGAAACAGCCAGGTATGGGGAACATTTTTGTGGTTCCCAGGTGTTTTCTTTTCTGTGGGAAACTGGTCCAAATGACTCTTTGAGTGTTTAAGGTTGCCAACCCCTGTCTTAAGCCAACATCCCTCCAGATGTGGCTGCAATCCAATTCTAGGGTTGTAAAGGCGAGTGGGGAGAGAGGCACTTTCAGACGTGACCTCAGGAGTCTGGAAGAAGAGTTATAGGCTAAATAATTGTCAGATAAGAGACAGATGAGCCCCAAGAAGGAAAAAGGATGTGGCAAACGTCTCAAAAGAGGCCTTCCCTAGTTTCTTGGGTTGTAAAGGCGAGGGGGGTGGGGGGAGAGGCATTTTCAGACTTACAAGATTCTGCTACTACAACCTTACAATAAAGACAGAATTAGCAGTGCTTCTGTACTGAACTGTAGGTAGCCCTCAACTTGCAACCACAACTGACCCCAAAGTTTCTGAGGCTAAGTGAGTTGAGTGAACTTGGCCCCATTTTACAACAGTTGTTCAGTGAATGACTGTCATTGTTAAATGAGTAACATGGTTGTTAAGTAAATCCGGCTTCCCCACTGACTCTTCTTGCCAGAAGGTCGCAAAAGCAGATCATGTAACCGCGGGATGCGGTGAGTGACCGCCATAAATACGAGCCCATGGCCAAGCATCTGAACTCAGATCATGTGACCAGGGGGAAGCTACAATGGTCGTCAGGGCAAAAAACAGCCCTGAGTCTCCTTTTTTCAGTGCCCCTGCAACTTCGAACGGTTACTACTACAACGGTTACTACAACTTCGAACGGTTACTACTACAACGGTTACTACAACTTCGAACGGTTACTGTTGCACGTGGCGGATGGCCCCAGACTTCGCAAGGCCGACCGCTCATCAGGAATGGCAGGAGACCGGCCCAAGGTCCTTACGTACCGTTGTAAACCAGCTCTCCGAACTTGGCGGCCAGTCCTCGCTTGATGTTCCTCACCTCGCGGTCGGTGGTGAGGGCCTCGAGGTCTAAATGAGCGGAGTGGAGGATGGTTCCCGCCGGAGTCTCATAGATACCTAGACGTTTCATCCGCGTGGAGGAGAGCGGAGGAGGGGGGGTGGAGTGGGGGGGGGAGAGAGAAAGCCAGAGGGGGAGAGGGGGAGAGAAAAGAGAAAAGAGTGAGGCCTAAAACTGTCACGAAATGACACAGAATAATGATCTGCTTGACAGGAAGGAAACGCCGTGGCTGCCTCTATTCAGTCTCAGCTTGCCATGAAACGCGACTGTCATTACAGTCCCGCTGGGGCCGAGACAGTCCACTCCGCACCTCGCGGAGAAAATTTCTGGATTCCTCTTTGGGAAGAAACGCTCCGACTAGGCGAAATGACAGGGTTGAGGAAGGCGATTTCCCACCGATGGTCGCCCACCAATCTGGGCCTGAAAACCTATAATTAAACAACCACGCAGGGCAGGCTCATGGGGGAGTCAGGGGAAAGAAAGAAACTCTCGTCTCTCTCTTCCTTTCTCCCCCCACCCCTTAACTCTTCCAACAAACAAGAAAAGGCCTGTGAGGCTGCGTAAGCAGCAAGGAAGCCGAATCGCTAAAGGAACAGTTGTAAGTCAAGGATTAAAGGTTCCCCTTGCACATACAGTATGTGCCAGTTGTTCCCGACTCTAGGGGGCGATGGTGCTCATCTCCGTTTCAAAGGCCAAAGAGCCAGCGCTGTCCAAAGACGTCTCCTTGGTCATGTGGCCGGCATGACTCAATGCCAAAGGTTCACGGAACGCTGTTCCCTTCCCACCAAAGGTGGTTCCTGTTTTTCTACTTGCATTTTTTACTTGCTTTCAAACTGCTAGGTTGGCAGAAGCCGGGACAAGTCACGGGAACTCGCTCCGTTACACAGCGCTAGGGATTCGAACTGCCAAACTGCCAATCTTTTCTGATCGACAAGCTCAGCGTCTTAGCCCCTGAGCCTCAGTGTCCCTATACTTCAAGGACTACCAGTCTATAACTACATGGATTGTGTGTGTCTGTGTCTGTGTGTATTTACTCCGTTCGATCGTGTTCTCATTGTAGGCTAAATTAATAAGCACCCAAAATGTGATTGTGTGACTACCAAGGAAGTTGCAGCCCTCAGAACTTTCAATTCGCATAATTACAACTACCTTTTGGGGTGATCGGTCATATATCTTATTGTTGTTAGTTGTGAAGTCATATACAACCCATCGCGACCCCATGGACAACGTTCCTCCAGGCCTTCCTGTCCTCTCCCATCCTCTGG